AATGCCTACTCGTGTACTTACTCGTGCTCGAAATATTTTTAATTATTCAAATTTGGTGGTGACATTCCTAAAGAAAAATTCAAATTTATCGACCGAGTAAAAGCATTTGTTTTTTCGAGCCGGGTCGTTCAAGCAACATGGCGGCGGCCGAAGATCTGCAGAGTATACGCATCTTTTCTATTGAGTTTGTTACAAGTTTATTGTTATTTTGACTTGTTCTTGTATACAATTGTGCATCCAATGTGATTTTATTGTGTTTATTGTTGAAATCGTGTGTTCCGAGTCATCCGTGCTCTTCTCCACTGACATATTCTCGTAGATGGTGAGGAATTCATGCAGATGCAAACAGAACGAAGAAAAGGTTATAGCAGGCAAAGTCGATTTGCGGCGAGTTTTTTTCGATTAAGTATTTTGATTATTTGCCATTAATCAAAGACATTTATACTTACTTGTTAAGTGATACATATATTCGTCTAGAATATTGAGTCATCGTTTAACTCGGGAAAATACACTTACACACGTTAAACATCTCTATTTAGCTTGCGAATATTCAAGAATTTTGCATTGCGATGCTGACTTATTAAATAGGTACGTACTTGTAGTGTGTAAAAGAAGTTTTAGTTTTTTTTTTGCATCGCGTGTTACAAGCTTCTGAACACAAATTGAGTAATATCCCATCAAAGCAATTATTTCACATTCATAGGTTATAAATGGCAACAGCTGTTTTGCGTCTCTGAAGTCTCGCCCATCATGTGACCCACAAGACGTTCAATTGATTTGGGGATTGATAGGAGATAAGAGAAGTGCGCGAGCGACTTTCATTTGTGTTTATATAACTTTCGATTTGGCTAAATGAAGCAGCAGAGCAGAGACCCGCCGGGTGTGCAGGAACTTTCTTTTTTTACCCATTCATACTTGAACTCTGAGCTGCAAATATTCAAATTTTCAATCCTCATTCGAGCTTCTTTGATTTTTTATATTTTAGGCTTTTAATTTGTTGTTAGTTGTCACATAGATAAGCTCAAATTGGCAAATTACTTGTATGTTTGTGCAGTTGCTAGCAAATTGCTAGCTGCACGCGATTCGAGCCGAACTGATTATTTTCAAACAAGTTAAACCTGTCTTTGACGGCTTACGCACTTCCGACCAATTTAACATTAGCTCTAATTTACAAACGGTTTGCAAAACTTCAAAGCATTCGATTGATACAAGGTCACCGGAACTGAATGCTATTATTTTCCATGTAATTTGAGTCAAATTGATACGAAGTATCTTTAACGTTGTTGCAAAATATGCTAAAAATAAGTACGTGAATGCATATTAATTGATTGTAGCTTAATTTGTCAAGGGTATCAGATAAATATAAAAATGTTATGCAGGTGATTTTTTTTTTTTTTTAAATATTGTACTTATAGGAGCTATATTTATTCTTTTATCATGATATTTGGTGTATAGAGATTTACTATAAAATTCGCAGTAAGAGAAAATAAATGATAATGCTGCTTAACAATATCTTGCTTGAAATTCAATATTTTTAAATTTACAAACGCGAACGTGCCGTGCGCTCAAGAATTTTCATTTTTACTTTCAACTCCATGTTTTGCTTTGTGAGAAAAATTGTCTACTCAATTGTAAAATAAATGTATCCATTTGTCAATGTACGACTCGCATAGGAAGTTTTTCAAAAAGACATTTTTGGCTCATTTTCAGTTTCTTGCTATTGTGCAAACCATATTTAAGTGTGTACAAGCATGTATATACTTTTATGTAAAATTTACTTTGGTTGACAATGGTTGTGTGTATTCACGGGAGCAAGAGTCAGGTCACGCGTTCGTGAACTCATATCTCAATTATTGTTCACGCGTTTCTCTGTATGCAGGTTTTTTAAGTGAAAAAATACACCTAACGTTCTCACGAGTGTTGCGGGGGATATCCTGCATATTTCATGATTGCTTGGTCTTCTATTCTTTTTTTTCAACAAAACATTCTAAATGCAGTTTGGGTTAAAAAAAAAATAAAAAAAATTATTATCACCAAAGAATTCAGCAAGAAGCATTTAATTGCTTTTACCTTGCAAAAAGCCGATTCACAATTGAGATAGCAATTGTTCGTAAACATTATTCGGAGCGCGTGACAAAATGCTATTTATTTTATTCAGTGTGTTATTGTTCGAAATGTTTGCATGTCACAGATTAAAGATGAGTCAAGCTTCTTTTTCATTTCAAAATGTCTCGGAATATTTTACATTTTTTCGTAACCGACACACGGACCAAATCCTACTCTTTCAATGCTCGAATATCTATCAGATGGAATGCAAACAGAAAACTTCTTTGTGGCATCGGAAACAAGAAAAACCAAGAATCCATCATACTTACCCAAAGCAAAAACATATAAATTGACAAAGAGGTCACCCGAACTCCCAACAATTGCTTTGCAGTAGAACGTTTCAATAATCTCCAATGATGCAATCCTCGTCTTTCAGCTGTACAGACATAAGTACGCATAATAAACAACCCCCAAAGATCTAAAAGCGGAAAGCTCGTTATCATCGTCAGCCGACTGAAGTCAATGAGAAGGAAAAAAGGCACATGATTGATTGAAATAAAGTGTACTCATACAGATTCTTTCGCCGAGAAAGATACACAGGAGGAGGCAAACAACTCGCATCTGTGTTTGTACAAGCCTCGCATGCATAAATGGCATAATCGAGAGAGAAACTAAGTAAATATAATATAACGCACGCACGTACCCCTGCGTTTATATATAATCTGCTCCGAAAAGCCGCAACATAATATAGTAGCAGCCGGTCAACTTTTGCGCCATTCGCGCGTTTATCCTCGACCCGAACGGACGTACAATTTTGCAGTGCGTCCTGCGGCGTGCAGTACGTTTATATATATACATATATTTATTATACACAGCAGACGAAAGAGAGAGGTTTCCCGTGGTTGGCAGGTGTGTTGTTGCTACTGCTGCTGGTGGAGTTGCAGGTGCGGATTCTTTGCCGCCGAAGGAAGTTAAAAGAAGGCAGCAGCAGGAAGAAAGAAAGAAGAAAGTGAAATTGCCAGAGGCGATTGTTCGCTTGTGTATGTGTATTATACGTATATATGTATATATACATACCTCACTGCTGTCTCTCACCTAGTGACCGTGATTTTCACTCGGGGAACGCGCGCGCGCTCGCGCGCGTGGTTGTATATACATCTTATCCTTGTACCATAATACACACTCCGATCCGAGTGTTCTGTCTGCAATACTTATACAGGCCGCTGAGCCGCTTCACGAGTGAGTTTCACTTCTAACCTCAATATAGAGTATAGTGGGCCGTGTGTGTTCCGGCTCGCGCTCTCCGCTGTGTGTATACACGCTCCTTTTCTCTCTTTCTCTCTCTGTCTCTTTGCGAGTTTATATACTTACTACCACGTTCGTTCGAAGGAAGAGGAGGAGAGAGGAAGCTAAGGAATTTTTTTTCACCGCAGCTGCAGGATTCGGCAATTTCACCTGATACTCGGGCTCTGCTCCTCTAGCGCTGACAATTACGTAAAGACGAGCGGGATCTCGTTTTATTTCGAATTACCAGCAGCAGTAGCAGTAGCAGCGCATGCAGGACAATGATGTAACGACGAGCTTTTTATCCAAGTGGATTTACCTAGTGCTTTTTTTTTGGTTGATTTAAAAAAAAAATTTTTTTATATCTTTAAATTTAACCAGGGGGTTGTTTTTGGTGTTGAATAGAAAAAATACTAGTCGAGAGAGGAGCGTGCAATCATGTGGCCCAAAGACGTGGGGATCAAAGCCATGGAGCTGTATTTTCCTGCCCAGTATGTGGAGCAGACGGAGCTTGAAGAGTTTGACGGCGTGTCAGCTGGAAAGTACACGATTGGTCTGGGACAGTCGAGGATGGGCTTCTGCAACGACAGGGAGGACATAAATTCTCTGTGCCTTACAGTGGTCCAGAGACTGTTGGACAGATACAGCGTGAAGCCAGAGGATATCGGGAGATTAGAAGTCGGTACAGAGACAATACTGGATAAAAGCAAGTCTGTCAAATCGTGTCTCATGCAATTGTTCGAGCCCTTTGGCAATACGGACCTCGAGGGTATTGATACCACCAATGCCTGCTATGGAGGCACAGCAGCGCTTTTCAATGCTACATCTTGGATAGAAAGTAGTGCATGGGACGGAAGACTTGCTCTGGTCGTGGCTGCTGACAATGCTGTTTATGCCAGTGGTAGTGCAAGACCTACAGGTGGTGCTGGAGCTATTGCCATGCTTGTTGGTCCAAATGCCCCTCTAGTCTTTGACCGTGGACTCCGTGCGTCCTGCATGAGACACGCCTATGACTTTTACAAGCCAGACTTGCGTTCCGAGTATCCTGTTGTCGATGGAAAACTTTCTATCCAGTGTTACCTCAGTTCCTTGGACACCTGCTACCAAAGGTACTGTGACAAAGCAAAAACAAAAGTCAATCAAGATGTTACCCTAGATTACTTTGATGCTGTCCTTTTCCACTCACCATACTGTAAGCTTGTTCAAAAGTCATTTGCTAGATTGGCATTTGTTGACTTTATAAATTCTTCCAAGAGTCAGTCATTTGAGAATCATGTTGACCTGCAAAAGCATAGTCATAAAGCACTTGAGGACACATACTTTGATAGAGATGTTGAAAAAGCTTTCATGACATCGAGTAAAAATGACTTTGAGCAGAAAACCAAGCCTAGCTTATTTGTAGCTAATCAAGTAGGAAATATGTACACACCATCTGTTTATTCTGGACTTGTTTCACTTCTCATCAACAAACCGCTGGAAGCTTTGGCTGGAAATAGGATTGGAATATTTTCTTATGGTTCTGGTCTTGCTTCCAGTATGTATTCGTTAACGGTAGTAAAAGATATTGGTCAAAAATCGGAATTAAGACAGATGGTAACGAATCTGTCTTACATTAAAAGTGAACTGGAGGCAAGGCAACAAGTACAGCCTAAAGACTACACCAATATTCTAGCCTTAAGAGAAAAAAACTGCCACACTGTACCATTTGAACCCCAGAGTAGTATTGAAAATATGTTTCCAGGAACATATTATCTGGTAAAAGTTGATGAACTGTATAGAAGATTTTATGAAAGAGTACCAAATGTTTCATACGAGGGATGTCATTAAATGTGGAAGAATGACAAAGGACAACGGATCGTTAAATCTTAATAGTCACGTGAAACAGTGAGCAGGTCATTAGGTTTTAATTTAATGTTATTAGTTCGTATATTTCTGAACCAAAGTTCTGTAAGTAAAATCTTATTTTTTAATATCACAGTGATAAGTAGAGTAACAAGAGTACAACAACTATTATAATAGCTTTTTGGATCAGTTAAAATTCATAGTTATTGAGTAGAGAAAAGATAATCCTCATTGTTTCATTATTATTTCAAGGAGGTAAATTGAGGAGCAGAAGCAACTTTGTATGATTCTCATCTCGAAAATAATATTGAGATCCACCCAAGGATTAAACGAAATGTCCAGTGCTACATCTATTTGGGTGTATTTACTGGAAAATTAGAAAGGGTCTATATTTCGGTTAAGTACATGTTTTATAGCTTAAAAAAAAAAAAATTGACATGGAGACGATCACATGAAATAGGTGGTGGCTGTAAATCAGACGTGCGATCCCTGATATTGAAATACTGATAGTTAGGAAATAAGGACACAAGAGGATAACACAAAGATAGTCGAGCCACACTTGCGTAACGCAACTGAAAAGCAGCTTAAAGTCTCTAGCACAGCAGGTAAACAAAAGACACCTTGTGTTAATGGCTGCCTAAACACTACACTTTGTGCCATTTATTTTTCAGTATCTTGAAACTTTCACAAGTGCTCCGAACAGCAATTTGCAGCTTCACATCTTGCCGGCTTTCATTAAGTACGTGTCCACTTCCATGTAGAAACTACACGATCCCACTGAAAATTATCTCTTTAATGTTTCGCTTTATACAGCAGACCATTTTTCATAACCGCGATAAACGTCTTTGTTTTTTTATCGCCGTCTTGACCCGTATGTACTAGTATGTCTCGTACGCGCTCACATGCCGTGCACAGTGCCATTACAATTGCCACTCCTCGAAATAATTAAAAAAAAAAAAAAAAAAAAAAATTCACCGAGTCCCACACTACCGCTGTCCCTGCGGTGTGCCTCAATGCATTTCCCCTACAAAAAAAAAAAAAAAAAAAAAAAACCACCACTAAGTCCACGTTTTTGTACAGCTACTTTTAATTTTTCACATCATTCTTGAACAGTTTCACAATAATTATCTCAAACATGTTCTACTCTTTAAAAACAGCGTAACCTCGAAAACTTCAAAGTAACATCAGAGCCACATACACTAAAGAGGCCACGAACAACAGATGGGGGGGGGGGGAGACCAGGAGGAGAATGAGGAGGAGGTGGCCAATTAAATCGTTTCTCATGCTGTATCTTTCGGGTGCCCCTTGCGCGCCCACCGAGAGAGATGGTCCTTTTATTTTTTTTCCCCTCTACCCTCCCCCGAGATATAAAATCACGAATTCGAAAGTATTCCAGTGATCCCTCCGCCTCCCCTGCCCCTTTCTCTCCTCTTTAACCTTTTCGCAGACATGTAACTTACACTCTGTATGTATGTGTGGCAGTAGTGCAGTGTTTGTCCCTCTCATGTTATTTTACTATACGGATGGAAGCAGTCACGGCCGAGCTCATTCCTCACGTACCTGCAACAGGTATTTGCCACGGGGAACACCCGATAGACAACCCAGTCCTCGTCTTTTCAAAGGATTTCCATTTTATTCCATCCACCCTTCCTGTATACTCGTTGATTTTAATGCAAGGAGGTGATAATAATACCAAGGGTACTAAAAGTAATGCACGTGGCACTTTTATAACTTTTTTCGACACCATAATCTGAAAAAATTTCACGAAAAGAAGACAAAACTGTTCCCATTAGCGTTGATTGCAAAGAGGCTCACGTACCTCAAGCAAATTTCGACGAACCATATAATTTCAATATCGCAAGATCAACGTCATTTATTTTCTCTCACCCGAGAACACACGTGTATGTATAAGTTTGCCACACTGTACGATTTGGGACAGAACTTGGTGCTCGTGACTCTACTTGTACACTGCACAACGAACGGGATGCAAAAACGCTCAGAGAAACCGTACGAGGGACTACTTAATAAATACTGAAATTTCACCCACTGCAGGTATACAGCTGACTGGAATAAAAAAAAAAAAAAAAAAAAAAAATCCAAGTCACTCGAACAATTTTCACGCGCGCGTCAGCTTTGGTGTACGTATGTGTTTAGGTACATCTATACTAAAGTATACGGCATTTTCCAGCGCGTGCAGATTCTGGAGAATAAGAAGAAAAAGCAAAGAAGTAGAAGAGGGAAGCCATACAGCTTGTCCGTGTGTATACGAGTATATATCCGAGCGCGCGCGTGTCCAGCTGGAGTANAATTGCATTTTTGTTATCGAAGTTTAAATTACGATATCTAAGAGTAATAAAATAGGCAATTACTTTGTTTGTAATAAAATGTATTAAAGTGCAGCACTTGAAGTATGTAAGAAATATTTGTGAGTACTTTATTGTACAACAATTAGCTTTCAATACAGTATTATCAAAAGCCTCTTAAAATGATTTTTATACATAAATAAAGTAACAAGTAACAATTTGGTTTTGTATCAACATCTGTAAGATAATATAGTTATTTAAAATTTTTAAAAAATATATGTTTTTTAAATATCCATTATTTGAGATTCTAAGCTTATGTAGCAATAAAACATGAAATTCAAAAATTTTGAGATTTAAATCGTTATCACTAAACATGAAAATTCTGACTACTTAGCAGTCAAAAATAACTACTTTAGTATTGCAAATAAACGAGCACATAAAATATCTCGTATGAAATTCATTTTTAAATAATCATATTTACTTTGTAGGTGCTTATAAAATCTAAATTAAGTTAACGTTATCTTGCGTCCCTACATGCATTATAAAAAAAAAATTTACATTTGATCATCACTTGCTATATTTTAAGGCAACGTTTCAATTAGTATACGAAAGTTGCAAGCTTTTGATTTGAAATAATGCATCACATGGCATATTTTTGGATTGCAATAAATCTACTATCATTTCTAAAACACTAAAACTAAAACTAATTAAGTATGAAAATCATTAATGAATTATAATTATGTGACACGGCCTAACTTGTGCGAAATAATAAGGCACTGAGTATTTTAAGTCAGGTCACTCAGATATTACAGTTTTCAAACCAGTTTTGGTTACATTTTCCAAAAATACATTTTTAAATGTACTTATTTTAATTTATATTAGTGCACCTAAATATCCATATGACCAGAGCTCATATACTTTGAAAAAAAGCGACTCCACTTGTACATTGTGTGCTTATTATGCATTGCTCATCGTGATTTCAGACATTTGTAAAGTTGGTATAAAAGTTTTCCTACGTTAATGATTAGCAACAGTATTAGCCTGTTTCTTTGATCATAATTTATAAAAATGAAACTTTTCACATTTCTAAAATTGTTCAAATAACAAATTTAACTGTGCGTTACTTTGTTGATTAAAATAATAACTGGTCAGTTCAGATCTTTTAAATATTCTCCAAAAGTTAAATAATCTTTACTCTTGATAATTTGTAAAAAGACGTGTCGTAAGTAAAAAAAAAAGAGCACTTGATAAATTGACTCACGAAAATTTATATGAACACATTGAACACGTTGAGAGATTGCGTCCGTTGCCCAGTTTCACGGTATTGTCATCTTCAGTGTTGACTTGACGATTTTCGTGACGTCGCTAAAATATATAACGAATTTTATTAATGAACTAATATCCCGAAATCAATATTTTTAATGTGTAAGAAACGTTGAAAATAAAATATTCCAAAATAATCGCTCAAATTATATGAAAAATGGTGCATACCTTCAATTCCGAGGCCAAATAAAAAAATATAGAATCTACATTTGTATTTTCCTTTGCTGAAGTTTCGACGATGCGAAATACCTCTGGTAGGTATTCACTCACAGCTTCAGCTTCTGATTTTTCAACTTGTCGTGCGTCTTCCAGGTCACATTTATTACCTACGAAAAAGAACAACGAATAAGAATATCATTTCATATAGTTCGAAAGACAATTGAAAATTGTAAATTAAGAAATACTTGCCCACTAAAATCAGGAGTACGTGTGTCGACGTATACCTCCTGATTTCGTCGATCCACCTTTGTAAATTAAGAAATGTCGAGCGCTTTGTGATATCGTAAACTGTAAATAAAATTATCAACCAATAAATAACATTTGTATTGCCTTACTCGAAAAAGTAAATTATTAATAACCATGTTCGAATTTCACCTAATATCACGCCATTCGCAGACCTGTAGTAGCTCTGCGTTATTGTTCGAAATCTCTCCTGACCAGCTGTATCCCAAATCTGTAACTAAAAAGGACTTCGGCAATGAACAAAAGACTGAAACAGGCGCGCCTTGTCATCATTCGAATACTATGCATCATCTAGCGCCTATCGTAATCTAATTTTTCAACGTATATAAAAGAAAAATAAATCCATAGCAAAGACAAGATCGCCCTAACCTCGAAGTCGTTGTATTTGCAATGTTTTATTTGCACAAGTGCTTATAAACGATCGTTAAAAATCGGTACATACCTTGACGCGTTTACCGTCGACGAGGACGGTTTTCATGGAGAAATCGACGCCTATAGTGCTGCCGTGCCTTTGTATAAAGTTACCCGAGCGAAACTTTTGTACAATGCAGGTCTTACCAGTGCCACAGTCACCGATCAGGACGATCTTGAAGAGATAATCGAAGCCCTCGTCGTTACTCGTTGTGCTCATCAGGTTGTCGGGGTCGCGACCCGTCATTATAATTTTTTTTTTTTTTTATTCTAGACAGGTACGCATGAACGTATAATCACACGTTACAAACATACAAACACCACAGGGAGTTCATCAACAACACAACAATTAAAACAAACAACCCCGTCGCGATTAAAAAAAAATTTTTTATTCCATAAATACCAAAACTTGCGCGCAAAGGGGAGGAGCGCGTTTGATACTAAGTACGTATTTACCTCTATATTAATACTCTTTGTTTTTATTTTGGATTCCGTGGCTCTTTCGCGCAAGCGTCAAGTTTGCGCCATATTTTTTTTTTTTTTTTTTTACTTTTGATTCATTTGCTTTCTAAGTACAGGTCTGGCTTCTCCTTCTTTTCCTCCTACTACTATATTACTACTCGGTAGTATACTACTATCAGTGCCGGATTAAGGAATTTGATGCTCCGAGGCTAAAAACGTACGCAGCTCTGTGGAGAGGCATTGAAAATTAGATTGATATAAATTGATATGAGATTTAATAATGAATAAAGTTTTAGAAGGGTATTTATAGTTAAAAAATTTTATATAAAAAAAAGAAAAACATATTGTATTTTATTGGTAAATTTTTCGAATTTTCAACAAGTATTGGGCAAAAGGTATTTTTGACCTTTTTAAACAATCTTTTGCGCTGTGAATTTTTATTTAAAAGTAAAATGGTCCAGAATTTTATATTTTTATTAGACATTTTCATGATAAATTAATTAGATATCTGTATTTTATAAATTTAGTTCCATTGGTTACATAAATGTTGTCCCAATCATCAAGATAAACATTTATTTANTTTAGGAACAAGTTAATAATACTAAAAACATTAATATTTTTTAAATTGTCTACTCTCAATTTATGTATATTAATATAGTGAAACAGTTTTAATGTAGCTAAATTTAGTTTACTTACTTCTGTCATGGCTGATCTTTATATACTATGATTTAGAGTAGAGTGAAAATTGTTTGTAAAAATAAATTCGTAATTGATGTGATGTATAAAAAATTTTGTTTTCAAAAGATTACAAATTAATTTATTTTACAAAAGTTAACAAAGTATTTTAATGAGTACAAATGTATGTTATTCATATACAAATGAATAAAATAATAAATACATAAAGAGAAAATTAGTTAACGTATCTTACGTACGTAATGCTTGAAATTCATAGTATGAGTGTTAATTTTATTTTTTGAGTTCATAGAAGTCATACTTAATTATTTTTTATGGTAAACATTTTCGATCGTATATGTCGCCCCCTAAAGTCTGACGCCCCTGGGCACGAACTTTTCATGTCTAAGCGGTAACCCGGCACTTACTACTGTAGTATACGTATACATATACTCCTCCATTTCCCACATATAGATGTCTACTCTTACGATCTATCTGCGTATTGTATAGGTGTATAGGTAAGTATATATACATGTAGACAAAATACAAGTCAAAGAGAAAAATAGATGTAGACATACCTGCACACGTGAATGTATGCGAGAGGAAGAGAGAGGAAACTGAGAACTCGAAGGATATGATGTGGCCTCTGTAGAGTGTACATGTAGGCGTGACTCATTTTACTTGCATGTATATATAGGAATTTATCTCACTTATTTACGCTGGTTGCAGTGTATATCATCTGTTACCACTTGTAACACCGAGCCTTTTTTTATGAAATGTATACAAATATGTAACTTAATGAAACGTTAAAATCTTTTTATAACACATATTTTATATTAGTCGGTTTTTTTGTAGAAGCCAAAAACCGATGGATACTCATTATAAGTGTGTACGTCTATAATGTTATACTAAAAAAAGATATCAAAATGAAATTATTGTAATTGATCGTATTAATGTTAAGTATACACAATCCTTGAGCTAATCATATCCCAATCGTCTAGCTTTTTTATAAAATATTCATGTCGAAGAAGTTGTGGAGAAATGAGTGATCTGTACCCTGTTAATTTTAGCTTGACATCTACTGTATTATATATACTCTTTCTATCTCTTTCACTTAATGTCCTATTTGAAGGTCTTTATTGAGAAGTGGGTAATGTACTATCTTGACGTTTCCACCATAGTAGATTGAAAACAATGTTTTTCAGTTTATTGTACTCTACTAGTCAAACTTTTTTTACATTATACCCTCTTATGAAAGTGGGTGTAAATAAGGTTACAAGATTTGAATGATTTTCAACGAATTAAAATTGTTTGAAAGGAAAGTTAATGGATTCATTAACAACTGAAGAATTATTTTTATAAAACCTCTTTTTTATTGATTCTTTTTGACAATGTGGACTGAGACACACGCACTCCAAAAATTTGTATTTTTTTTGCATTACATCAAGTAGTTTCGTAGCATTAGTGGTACGAAGATATGTAGAACTTAAATTACTCTCATTAATGTGCTAGAAACAAACATTACTTTTTAAAATGTCTTGAGATGCTTAGTAATGATGGATGATTTCAAGTTCACCAGTGTAATTTTTTCAAATAGTTTTTTGAATTTACCAAATTTTTTGTGCATAACGTATTAATTGTAAATTTATGTGCTTGAGCGCAGTATCATAACAATAAAATTATTTATCGATACCTGATATGCAATAGTTGAATACAACACTAGATGTAAGGTTTTTTACACACATAATGCATTTGTTTAATCATTCAACGTATTGTGCTAATGATGGGAGTTGATGAAAGTTTTTGCATTTAAGTTCATAATATTTTTCAAACTGTACTTTGCATTAACGGTTGAATTATTCATTTCAGCAGTCGATATTTTTTAGTTTCAGCACATCGAGACACTAAGTAGTGATATGTTCAAGAAGAGATGCAACTGATTTTATAACTTTTTCCTCGTCGTTCTAATAAAAAAGCTGTCGAAAATGATAAGTAATTATGTACACTTAATTTAGTGGTATACGCTGCAGTGATGTTTTCTGTTTACTGCTGATAAATTTTAACTTTGTGTGCCTCGACTTTTATAGCAACATTATTTCACCCATCAAGACACACACACACATACACGCAAACTCTCGCCAAGTACACATAGGAAAAACGCTGGTGCTTTTTGCGTGTTACCAAGATTAAGGATCGGGTTCGATAGACTCTAATAGACTTTGCAGGCGGACGTAATAGAAACACTATAGTATATAGCTTTGCTCGTACAGGAAATTTTCAGTTCCTTTTTTCTTAATCAAAAAATCAGTATTAGTAGATGATGCGTTGTTGTGCATCGAAAAAAGTCATTAATAGGATATGATATGGTAATTTTTTGTCTGCAGTTGTCTACTGTAAAACATCCTGTACTCGCTTTGACATAATATGTTTTTTTATAATAATACAATCATCTATCTGTATATTTAATACGCTTAATTTATTTCTGATTTGTTTTGTTTCGTTATCTTATTCATATATACATCCAACATATTCAAAATGAAATTTCTGTAAGAAGTTTCTCGTAGAAGACTTGTTCAAGTATTAAAAGCATAGAACGACAACATCTTCGAACGATGACAATTTAATCCATGTCTTGAAGTTTAAAGATAGTGCAATTGTGTTTTCAAGTATGTTATAACCTAACAATATACTTATTTTTAGTTTTTAAGTTTTTTTTTTATAGTTATTAGACACAACACATGATTTATCGCTTTAACTTTTTTATAACTCAATTATTTCTTTTAAATTCAATAAAATAATTGTTATTGTTAACTTTCAGGTAAACAATTTTTATGCTATGTTGAGATCATGGTTACTTATAACGTAGTTTCACACCAAAATTAACTAATTGAAAATAAGATATAACATTGTGAAAGTTAAAGGTTTCATTTACCAGAGATCTTTTCTCACGTTTAGTTTTTTTCGTATTCCTTTTTTTAATTTTTTTTCTTCTTTTTTTTTATATTTATTGATTTTTAGGCATAAGCGTTCTCAACATGTTTAAAAACATACGCGTGAGAAATACCTCTACACAACATCATGTGCAATTGTTAATACAATGAAGATGCATCTAAAAATTTCTTAAACTTAACGAGATAGTTAATTGCATAGTTTTATTACTTTAATTTCCTGTTATTGACAAAAATGATTTTTTTTAAATCTTTTTTTTTTTCAGATTAAAAACCTCAAAAGGCAGCAATCTTTTTTCTATGCCTTCTTCAATTCTGTTAAATTGAATAAAATATTTTAACTTTAAGTTAATTTTTTTGAATAAAAAAATTTTACTACTTATTTGTGACGTAATCTTTTTTTAACGCGTACAGTTAAGCTATGAAAGAAACATTGATTGAAAACTATAATCAGCAATTTTAAAATTATTCATTTTAATAATCAAAAATTAGGAATAAATAATAGCTCGCTTAATATTTTTAGATACTGTCAGTGCTTGCCTTCTCTTGGTTTATATTATCATATATATTTTTTTATTTGTTTATATCAATCACTTGATATTCATATTTATAATATATCTATCTACTATTTATATATGTATATATGTATTTATATATATATATTCCAGAAAATAACACTTTTACAAAATTGACTACAGCCGATTGCTTCTATATGTGTTTTCAGAATGTGCTTCAAAATAATTCATTTCGTGACTTGACGATTGACATGTTTATTTTTTGTTTATAAGATCTTTTACATCTTCTTAAATTAACTTTTTTTTTGCATGTGCATGTCACATGCTCACGATATGGTGGGTGTAAATATTGACCAAGGGTTTATCCAAATGTGTCATACTTGCATCTTTTAAATCAAAATTACTGAGATAAATCCAGGACGTATTCATTATTTTTCTCGTTTAGGTTTTATTTTCTTCTCTTGTAAGCCGTTTTTTATATTGCACCTTTTATTTTGTTTTTATTTTTTTTATTTTTTTATTTTGTTTTTTTATTATTTTTTTTTGTTTTGTTATTCTGTTGTACTTTTTTCTCAACTACAATTGTTTTATCTGACACACATGTGTTGATGCTGCAGGAAGCTCGTATCATTGCATGAATTATATGTAAAGGGCAATCACTTTTTTGTATCCCTCATTAAAATACACTTAAAAGAATGACTACTAATGATTTTATAATTATTCTTCCGAGAACATTCCATTATCATTGTTATTATGTTTATTATTATTACAAGCAACGTCGTATCTTTTTAAACATATAAAAGAAAAAAGAAATCTCTTATCATGGGATGGTAAAAACTTTGTACAGAGATAAAGGTGCAGTAAAGCCGTTACATACGATCACACGTTGACATGAAAAATTGACGAGGGAATAGGTATCACATGTACAAACTTTTTATTTTCTTTTCCTCAACTTAGGCCCACTTTTGTTGCTTTTTTTTTACTGTTGCCGAACTGCAACTGTAAACACTGGATATATATTTTTATCTCCAAATTTTAGTTGAAAAATACGCACCTTGAATAGTATTTTAGTATTGATTAATTTCTCGTAAGATGCGCATTTTGTACCATTTACGCGTTCGATACGAGAGCTGCATTGCCATAAGTGCAGATAAAAGTGTATTATTATTCATTAAATATGGAATTGGAAAAACAACTAGTTTCATTTACACACACAAAGTAATTTTTTTCAGGGTTTTCCTTATAGCTTACAATTATTCCTTCCTTTCTTTTATTATATAAAATATCCTACCATCGATTTACGTACAATCAATTGTCATTATTCCTATGCAAATCCATTGGTTAAGTGTCGATGAAGTAAATACCAATAAGTGGTAGTAAAATTTACCATTTCTTTTTTAAATCTTAAAAATTATTTTCTTAAAACACAATTTTTTATTTCTGTGTACTGAAGCATGAAAAATACAAAACTAAATGGAAAGCCTTGTTAGACCACGCGTGAGTCAAATACTTGCTCGTGTATATTTTTGTTTCATAAATAAATACAGCAGCAGCCAGATATCTATTATTACACAGTCCTTTACTTATTCTTATCCTTGTCATATTATATCTAATTTTTTTCTCACACCAAAAAAGAGGAGACTCACACGCAGAAATCATGTCTCGCGGTTATTTACAAGTCGCTGACTAGAAGTTCATCTAATTTATTAGTTCTTCAAGGATTTTTTGCTCATTGTTTTTAGTCCTTACACCGAGTTCTACCTTATCCTTATACTCTTCTCGCCTCTTTCTCTCTCATCTTTGAACGCATTTTATGACGCATCGTTTTGTACATAAATTTAGCTTCTCGTTTGCTCTCCGCTAATTGTTATCTATTCCGTTGCCACTGGTTATTTTTATCGGACTCAGCGGTCGTCCTCGGACGGCTCGTACATACGTGGGACTCAGGGAATACACGTGTGCGTATTGGTCGCCTGTCCTGATGACGTCAGTGACACCGAGTAGTCCGAGTCGAGCACTAGATCGCTTATGCAGCCAACGATCCCCTTGAGATATCGACCTCCCGTGGTCCTCGCTATGGACGGCGCACCTCCTGTAATGATACGGTAGACAATTAGTATGAGCCTTTTTTTTTTTTTTTTTTTTTTTTTTTTTTTTCTCAATAACTGTGTTTGAAAATATTTTTTTTGGCTTATCAGTATGGTCCAATGGTTACTGAATTACCAATTATTGTACATAGATAATTTGTTCAATAAAAACATGGAGTCCAAACGTGTAAAATTTATCAAATCTCGTGCATTAATTGGCGTTAGCGACAATTTAATGTAGGACTTAAATTTTAAAATGAACGAACAATATAATGACGTAAACAAACGCGTAAGTGACGCAAAACAAAATTGTTATACTCTGATTCTGTTGGTTGAAGTCAAAACGTCCAACTGAGCATAATCAACTAGATATACATTTTCCCTAATTAGCAAAAAAACGTGAACGATGAATTTGTCATTAAAAATTTGCGCTCGAATAAACTCGCGCTTGTACGAATCGCGTTAACGATCCGATGCGCGATAGTTCCACTCACCTACGTAGAGGCCGGTATCCGTGTTTAATTGTCTTAATTGTCCCGGAGACTCCGCCGAAACGCCATTCCCGTTATCCACGACGAGGGAAGCTCTCTGCTCGTTCCTGGAAATGAAAACAATTTTGTATCTCGAAACGTTGCAGTTAACGTCAATCAGTGGCTTATTTTACTCTCGGTGTTGAGTTTTGCACACCAGGAGCCAAAGTAGCTTTTACTTGGAGAGCACTTTGACGCGGCATCAAAAATATAGCGCGCAAATTTACATCCGCTTTGAGGATCTAATGGAAAATCGCCTCAAAGTCGGGAAAAAACACATGCACACAATAGCAACAGACAAGCTATAATAGACAATGAATATTCATGAAGTTAAAAACTGAGGTGGGGGAGTAGAGAGAGTGGGGGGGGGGATGGTCGCCTCTTCCTCACCTCGTTGCTCTGACCCGGTGCCAGAGATCGTCGTCCAATCTGGTGAGATTGTATCGGAGCAGCGCCCCGCCGGAGCCGAGGTTGTACGCCAGCGTGAGGTAGCCCTGGTCCAGGCCGAGGGCGAGGTAGTCCTCATTAGAATCCCTTTGTTCCCGCGTCTCCGATTGTCTTCCGCTCCAGAGCAGCAGGCCGCTGTTGCTGCTCGCCCGGAACCGCATGTTGATGTCCACTTTGTAGCTTATTATCCTGCGGGTGTGCATTGTAATTACAATTGCAGATTGTCCACGTGAGTTATGGATGGGTATCGATTCTAGCTCGTCTTTCGATTGTGCTGTTTCACGCAACGATGGAGATCATGCTCGTTATTGGACGGCTGCTGGATTATTATCCACGGCTTTTTAATGAATATTAATGATGTTACAGAAGTTGACGATTTATTAGGATTATGCACGTCGCGTTGTACTGTCTTCATCTATGAATCGTGGTTTTGAATAGCATGGGTGTTGCGTTGGTGATAGTTTTTATTTTTATTTTTATTTATTATCAAGTACGTCCTTCGTGAAAATCGAGGATTATGAACACAAATGTATCGGAATATCTCATGCCTGACTCTCTGCAATCCGATCTGCTGGAACGTACGAGTATAGTCGACTTGCAACTTTTCAATCGAAACCACTTACACATATAAAGTGCTCAGTATCAAATTTCACGAGCTCATCCTATACATCAATAGAAAGGACCACTTGTGTCAATTCCATTTAGCGTTCAAAGTTATTGACAATTGATGAATAACTTTTGAGCGTGACTTCTGAGCATTTAACTTTTTCATTTATGACTGATAATGAATAGTTTTAGGCTACTTTATAACAATTTTTTAAATTAAATACCAAAAATCTATGCCATTGATAATTAGTAGTATAAACGTTTATGCAAAAACAAAGCACAGTTATGATTAGCAAAGTGGATGAACGTGTGTATGTATCTTTATTGAAGGCTTTCTTCAAGTTATAAACAAAATGTTTTTCGATTCGTCCAAGTTTTATTTCATTAAATACAAATTGTTATTTCAAAAACTTAAGTACATGTCAGTATTGCTATTCTCATTTTATCCAAATACGAGTAATCCTTATTTTCATCAATCGAGCCATCACTTTCACGATTCGCGTACTATCCTCAATAATATTTTCTCCTTGTCATGATAGCTCGTTGTAAAAAAAAAAAAAAAAAAGGTACAAATCTCACCTTTTCATGATGTCGGCGTCGTCAAAGTGCAGATAGCTGTCGGTTCCAGTGAAGCTGGGCACAGGCGTTTCCGGTTGCGCCGAGCTTATCGCGTACCTCGTCGCTGTTTCCACTTGAGAACTAGTTATCGTTTGCAATTGTTGCTGCTGCTGCTGCTGATCGTCGAGGGCGGGGCAGGGATGAGGCAGTCCGGGTCGACAGCGACAGGTGAAGCGGTCGCGCAGCGGCCGGCACTCCGCGTCACCGCACGGCCGCGCTTCGCACGCGTGACCACAGCTACCCACGTTTACGCCACCCAGAGCCTCTGCCAGAATACCCACCTGACGAACACAGAAACAAGGTTCACGCTGTCATCGATATTTTACTGAGAATGATTTAAAAAAAAAATTTTTTTTTATCATCTTACGCTGTTTTTTTTTTTTGTAATTGTCATATTTCAATACGAATAAAAAATGCGACGAGTGGTTCAAGTTCTCCTTGGTGAGCTTTTAACTGTTGCAAAAAAAGGTGAATTCTTTCAGTTTGCCCGGTTTCAAAGTTTCGCCTACCTGCCTGCTTTCGTTTGCTTGGCAAAGAAAAACGCGATGATAGACACACACGCCTATATCTCCCGGGGCTACAGTTAACTTGCGGAAAAATGGTAATGGGAATCTAGAGTGGCGGCATGGTAAAGCTAAAACATCGGCTTCGTGCGTTGAAGTTGCGGAGGAGGATGGAAGCGGAGAAAGGCAATGCGTGGAATCTAGATTTACTTTGGAAGAGTTCCTCCAAACTTTTCGGCTCTTTCTTTTTTTACACCACAACTACGAGTGTTTTCAATTTTTTGCCTAAAGAGATCATTTAGTCGGACGAATAGTACATCAGTTGTGGGTAGGTTATTTCCGGTACCGGACAATATATTTTTGGCACACCAACTTTTTTATGTGTCCGTCATCATGTCTATCTTATTTGTTCAAATTTTTTTCGTATACTACGCATTTGTTTGTCTATTTTTGTTACTTTTACGTTCATTATGTTGTCCATGACTCTTCTAATCTTTGCGATGTATTTTTTTGATTCGCAGATAATTTTCGTTGTGATTTACAACTGAAAATTTAAGACCTGGTGCAGTTTAAAATTTAAAACAAAATTTAAAATTCCTATTCTATTTAGAGAGCATGTAAATGCTCTGTATATGAAGTACACGCAATGTCCTACTAACTTTAGCAGATATTGACTCAAATTGGCCAGTTTTTAATTAATAATGTGAAAAATAACACACCTAGGTATTACAGATCCAGTATAATGGAAAACTTGCGTGTAGTTACAAATTTAAAAATGGGCTCGGCAAAGTCGTTTGTACAATTACGTTCATTGCTAATTTTTGCCAAAGTTAGCAGTACTTTAATTAATACATTTTCTCGTAGAACGGCAAATTTTGATCCCATTATCATACACCATTTCGAAAAGTGTCATTCCAACATTGCATACGAGTGTAGAGGGTATGTTGGATCGTTTTTTTATTCCAGACAAAGTGTCTCTGAACTGTAGAAAGTTTATAAAAGGATTACTTATGCATGTGAGTTTATACACACGCGCGATTATGAAAATATTTTTAACTTGCCATATTTTGACTTTAAAAGGCTATGGGGTCATTCTGAAACTACTTTCTTTCATTAGAAAGTGTCAAAAATGTATCTCCTCACAAAGATTGGTTCATGACTAATCAAACAAAAAAATTCTTTCTTTCTCAAAGCTTTCAAAAAGTGTTTGCAATCGTCGGATCATTGGCTTACCTCGCGTCGATTCAACACGACAGATTGTACACAGCCAACAAAGCTTGCGTTCGTCTTTAACTTTGGCGAGTACATTTCCGTCGATGGTGTTCCACCCAGGTACATGTTAAGAGGTAATGAAAGTTGGGTAAAAGCACCCGGGGCCATCATCTCTATGGCCGGGTCGTCTTCCACTTCCAAAGAGGCAAGACGACCAGTCCTCGACACTCTGATCTCGATCCACTCGTCCAGTTTAATTGGCCTTTCACTCCTGGAAGTACACATCAGTTGTTTTGTTTAATATTGCCATTCTTTTAATTTTACTGAAGGAAAAAAAAATTTATTGTTTTTTTATAATAACAATCCGATGGTATAAGCTGCTAATTATACATGTGAAAAATTTATGTTCGTCTTACAAAAATTGCTGTATTAATAACGAAAATTCTTATCATCTCATTGTGTGAAACGGTAATGTTCAATAACCATATCAAACAACTGAAGACGTTAACACCATATTTTAAATATTAAATTGGAAGTTCTATTTATAAAGGGATTATCCTTCTATTAAATAAATTATTGTACTGTCCAAGTTTCCAAAAAGCTCTCTAATTTTTTTTTCAAACATCAATTCACACCATCACCTTGTAGGTACCTACTAATTTCCACGGCACCCTGATCTGACTGCCCATAAACAAGAAAACTTTGCGTCTAGTCTAGCTCTTCTATTCCTATTACAGAAAACAGAAGCGTCGCGTGTTGTCGTCGCGGCGCGATATTATTACCTCCCCGGATAATAAGTACGGGTTACACCCCTCGCAAGTGACATTCAAAAACTCGGAGGAAGGCACATATACCTGTGAACCAAAGAGGAAACTGCGAGAGTATGAATTATCGGTTTAATAAAAGGAGCCACGAGCACCACGAGTCGCGACTGAGCTTTCATCCATATATATAATGTAGCGAGCGAACGAGAGAGGAAAAGAGACCTCGCCCGTTGATTCATGAATATTCGGGGTATTGTCTCGCTCTACCTCTTCATGTATAGAGATATACTACAGGCAACCGTTTCAGGAAGAGGCACAGTGACGGAAAACGAGAGCTACCGCTGTGTACCGATCGATTCCCTCCCACCCCCACCCCTTCCGTATACGCTTAGTGCCATTAACATTAATGAGCGTCGAATTATTTATACGGCATGCTGCGCTCTCGCGTAATAATGCGTGTACTTTTTTTTTTTTTTTTTTTTTTTTTTACATTTACGAGCTGTCGCAATAATCGAGGCTCGTGAGCGTCAATGTAAGGCACGGGCGAGAATGATAAATTGTGACTTTCTTTTTTCAATCTTAGTTGCACGCCACATTTGATTTCAACAAGATTTCAACTAAATGAGACTCTGACAGAGTGTTTCCGACGAACGTATATTGATTCGTTTATTTTTAAGTGAAATTATTTTTACACTGATCACAGTTCAATTTGAATTTCATTTTGCCTCAGCATATCGTAGCACTGAACTATCGAAAGGAATATTTTGTAATCATAAATACGTTTTAATTCATGTGCAATTTTTATCCATACACAGTAATTTAGAAATTCCTTTGATTTACTTACGATGCAACGCTGTGTCGATTATAAGGAGTACGACAAAAGCAAAAAACATAGTTATGTATTGGTGCCGCCTTACCTCAAGGTCGCGCATCCAGTTCCCAGGTCGAACGTAAACTGGACGTGGCCCTGTGCCAGGTAGAGGGCAATAAAGTCGCCGGTCGCGTCGCTGTGATGTCCGTTGTACAGGATCACACCGTCGGGGGCACTTGGCTTCAGCGTCACGGCCAATTCGAGCCAGGAGAGCGACGTCTCGGCCAGACCGGCGTACTTCAGGTACGAGGACCCGTTAAATGATGGCACCTGAGAGAAATGACATTTGCCGGTTATTTTTTGCTTGCCTCTCATATCTGGGATCCTCAGATTTCTTTTCTCTCCAAACGCAATTGTACTCATTCCGTATCGCAAGTTGTGCACAAGGATACTTAAGGATGCTTCGGAGAATATATTATTATTATCAATCAAAGTTCAATTTTCACTTTGTTATCTCTGTAAGGGTGGATTTGGCCATTGTACATGGATTTACACGGATAACTTGTATTCTCGGAAGTTCGTCGGAATGTTTCAAGTGGAAATGTGAAAACTTTTATTCATGTGTGTGCCTTTTGTGCTATTGACTTGGAAATAGGGAAACTTTAGACATTGGTTTTTCGAAAAGCGAATCAATTCGTAACTTTTGTTTTGGGAAAATATATTGAAACTCTTTTATGTTTTATAAGGGTATGACAAATTGATTTAGTTTTTTAATTAGTACCAAAAAAATTACCTAATCAATAAAATGTTTTTTAAACAGAACAAACTTCTCGAGAACTTTTTAAAAGTGTACTACATTAGTGTGTACTACTTAGTCATTTTTTTCATAGATATTCTAACAATTAAAATCTACATAAAGTTACCAAATATCTAATAAAAATTTATGTCTTATATTCAGTTATGTGTTAAGTAAATCTATAGTAAGAAATAACAATGCATAAAACCAGCAAACTGTGATTTTATCAGTTTTATGTTCATTTCATTTTATCAAATAGAAGAATTGTACAACTTGAAGTAATTAATGTAAGAAAAAGATGTAATTTGACTTGTATTTTATTTGAATGAAATTCATCCACGTTAAAATATAGATTTAATTGTTATAAATTCAAAATGTCTTACTGACTATTTTAGTAATTCTAGAAATAAATTTATTCAATTTAAGTTTAACAGAGTAATTAATTTTAACTGGACGTGGAACGATTATAATTTTATTAATCTCGAAAATTGAGTTCTCGTAAAATAATTAAATTTCAAACGAACGTACACGTATTTAGACTTCATTTTAATGAAATTAGGTTAGCAGAAAGTAATTTAATATCCATGTCAGAAAATTTATAATAATTTTGTATCAAGTAAAATGCATGTTTTAAAAAAATTTTAATTTTTCAAGCACTGTAAAATATGATGAAAATTTTTTTGACTCAAATACACAGCAAAAGAGTCGCAGCGAGTTCGCGTTCATAATCGTAAATTTTAACGTCCCTCGATTGCAGTCAATGAAAAGGGTCGGTGGCAATATTCATCGGATCCCAATGGCAATTTCATCGATGTTCTATTTTGTACCCATCAGTTTAGTGCTTTTCCCACAGCGCGTTGTCCTATCCCTTGCTCTTTGAAATATCTCTTCGATCGATTTATTTACGTATCTATAGAGTCTCTGGACCAACGCGCTCGGTCCGTTTCCAACACTTCAATGTGGAATTCTGATGTTCATTCTGTTTTCGCGTGCAATCGCTAATCACCGAGTGCATACTGTGATTGTGGTCCACAAATACCCTCGTGTGTAGAGGTAAAGGGATCAAAAAAAATTTTTTTCATCTACTTTTCACTTTGAATTATAAACGGTTTCAAACTTTCCGGATTTAAATACACCAATGAAATATAATAATTACAGTTAAAATACGTTGAACGTTTCATAGTTTTCTCTTAACTCTATCTGATGGCTCGCCAACAAATAAATAAAAAAATAAATATAATTTTTACGCGATAACATTATTGGTCATTGTGTTTTATAAACTTATCATTACGTAAAATTAATGCCATCAAACGATACTTTACATTATTTATGTAATAAAATTATACCAAATTCAAAACGATGTAGACGAAAAAGTTTATTTAATTTGGGTTGTACGGAAAAAAAGTTTCAGTTTTACTTTAATATTAGGACACATGCAATGAAATTTGAAAAAAAGGCAAACAAATGTAGAGAGAGTATTTCGCAACAAACGAAAAACGCACGCATCTCTATATTACATTTATTCCTCGCGTCACGCTCAACAGAAAAAAAAATAAAATGAAAAACTAATGTCAAGCCCAATTAAAATAGTTTGTTTCCCTGTTTCAGTAGTCCCGTACCCATTTTTATATTCAAATATACTACAAATCGCATATTTTTCACAGCGCACGTCCTTCGCACTTCCACCGCATTATATACAGATACACGTAAGGCAGAAAACCGAGCATATTGCGCTTGCGTTCCATATAAAATCCAGCCTGTGGTGCGAATGGCCATCGATGCTCTATAACAGTCCCTGGTTCATACCGTGCAGTAAATATCGGCTCGATTATTATAGCCACCGCTTCGTTAATCGATCGCTGAATTAGCGGCTCATTCAGTTTTATGACTCAATTATCCCTTTTATATTCGTGAGCTGTTATTTTTAGATGAAAAAAATCTCGGAATATAATATACCCGTGCACATGAAATTCATTATTTTCCATGAGTTTTGTTTGTAACTACTAGAAATTGTCAAGTGATCGTCGGCTTGTTATTAAAGATTTTTCGATCACCTGTAGGCCATGTATACAGCCAAAGACAAACAGTGAAAATCGCCGATTTTCTCTCTTGCATCGTTGTTGATCGAAAGAGGATCGGGTGTTTCCAAAGGGTATTTACCTGCAGGTCCACCCTCGTCTCGCAGAGGTCGCCGGTGTATCCGAGTGGACAGAGACAGACAGCCGTGTCGCCGCCGGTGGTCAGGCACTTGCCCCCGTGCGAACAGGGCACTTTGCTGCACCTGTCGGCCGTGCACTTTTCTGCAACAACAGAGACACACATCCGCGTATGGGTCTATTATTAAAGCGGTACTTTTCTGGCTTATAAAATACTTGTCGACACACCTCGTCGACAGCTTATTTTAAAAAATCGGAAAGTGCATAATGCATAGGTGGATGATATGCAGGTTCGAGAGGTCGCAGTTTGAATGTACGTTATTCTGGGAGTTTTTAGGATTTTAAACAGTTTTGAATAAACACCGATTAATTCTCTTGTAAACGAGTGTTATCAGAAATAATACGGTGTTGAGTGAAATAAATACGTAATTTGTTGCGCTGTCGATTCGTTTTCTTTACCCATTAATTGATTAAGTTTGACAATACCGTCGTCATTTTGCTTCATCAATTTACTCATTTGGATCTAATGTTTATTAATTTTAGATTTTGCTCATTCGAAACGTGATTCATTTTTTTGTATTTGGACAGTGGATGTGGTAACTTTTTTTCCTATTTTTTTATCATTATTATTATTATTTTTTTTTTTTCAGTTCTCTAGGGATATCCGTTGATTTTCATCCGAATATTGTATCGTAGGAAAAAGAGAAGAAATTGGACTGCTGCGATTGGATCTATGAACAAAAGTCGTTTTAAAAATAACCGGACTATTTTCGAATTTCCATTCATCGACAAAGTTCGATTTTGAAAACTCATTCAAACCGGATGAAAATTTTACTTTCCGAAAAAACTATTAGGATTTACACAATTTAATTAAAACGTCCTTTAGTTTGGAAGAATATACATACATCAGTTATCACTAACTGACAATTACAGGGTTTTTATAGGTAAGAGAAAATCGAGAAATCTGCGTAATGAAAACCAAAAGAACACCGGTAATTAACTTTTTGATCTTAAAAAAATTTTGGGTCAACTAATACATTAATAAGCAAGACACGAGCACATAAACTAAAAGAGATGCTTTTGTTGTATACTTATACCGTGGTTTATGCGTTCGACTAAAAAAATTAGTTATTAAAAAATAATTAGTATTTTTGCATGAATTATAAGTCACATGACAAGTTTACGTTTTATCAAATTTTTGCTGTTCTATTTAAAAAAAACTTGTGCACTGACTATTAGTTCATTGTATAAATTTGTATAAACATTGAAGAATTTTTTTAATCCAAACTCTGGATTTTTCATCGAAACTCTAAAACTTTTTCTAACTCAATTAAATTGTCACAATCCGTTCGTGAAAAAGTAATTCTTAGAAGTAAATGATAGTTGAACGAGAAATATCCCAAAAAGATCGATATTAATTAAATTGATATTCCTATATCGTTTAACTGGTCGTCCCCAGTCATACAGTTCCTCGCAAATTCCGGATCATTACCTTGAATTATTTCTATTCGACTGGTGGTAACTACCTGAGAAAGTGCGTACGTATACTTGCAATTGATAACTTAAAAATTTTGAAATAAAATCCCGAATGAATGTTCCATTGTCTTCGAAAAAAACAAAAGAAAATCCGTGTAATAATCACTCAAAAAAAAAAGCGATTTCCCGCAAAAGGAAAAGAAAAAAGAAAATTGCGCGTGAAACAGCATTCGAGAGATAATACATCCGTCACCTAACGACAAGGGCAAACAGAAGAGTCTGAAAAAAGTCCTGTCACTGTACAGGCGAGCGCGGAAAAACAAGGGGGAAAAAAAAAACAAGCACAAGGGGATGAAAGAAAAAAGAGTCGACATTCGATTCCACGCTGCACACGTGTTCGGGGGAGGGACGTGCGAGTGGTACAAAGGCTGTACTCTCTGCGCTCGTTGCAGTGCTTCTTCCGCTTTGATTCGCGCTTATTGTTCCTACCTCTCGTGCAATTATTTCGCACTTATAACTTCGAGAGCCGGTGTTTTTCTCCTCCTCTGTTTTTGTCTCTTTACGAGCTTGGCCCCCTTTTTGAGCTCCGAAAATAGCGAGACCGAGGTAAAAAGGGGGTGGGGGCGGAGTGGGAAGAAAAATGAGGCGAGAGCAAGTACATTCGCCTCCTTTACCCGGGGCCAAGTACTAATTTCCGCCTCCACCCTTCTTTTCGCGGACAAGGGGAGGCTGCTGCTCGGCAACGTGGCCTCGCTCTGGCTATTTTAATCGCCTGTTCGCTCTTTCGTCTTCATCTTCTCGCGAAGCCCGCGCGCCACATTATTGTTGTAAGCTCAGCCTCGGCTGACGTGAATGACGCCCCTCTTAACGAGATTCCCCTGGCTATACGGTGTTGAGTGTCACGCCGGGGGGTTCCTTGATTACGAAATGTTCTCGGTTTAAAAGAATTGCCTACTCCAGGACGCTACTTTTTTTTTTTTTTTTTTTTTTTCATACCCTCGTTACGAGGAAGAAGGGTATAGTATTACCTGATTTTTGTAAATTTTTTACCCTTTTTTTTTATTTCATACCTCAAACGGATTTTCTGGGATTTCATAGTTCACTTTAGCAGTAACATCAGACGGTGTGATTGTCGAAATTTCAAAAAAAGCTCGGGCTTGTCGATTTAATAGACCCAGCCAGCCAGACACTGGGTTAACCGACCGTCTGGCGGGCATAATTAGAAAATTTACTCAGCTGCGGTTATTCTTGTCTTTTTCAGATAATTAAAAGCCGAGCCACAGCGAAGGCACTAAATTTTCCTTTTAATTGCCTTGAATTTCAGTAATTTTCCAGAATGTAGCCCATCGTTATTTCTAAAGGTTTTTCTTTGTTCAGAGAAGTCAAACGGTTGCTAAAAAAAAAAAAAAAAATCGCACGAAATATTTGATTAACATTTTAACAACATTTTTAACGATGTAATACCCTATAAAATATTAAAAATGTACTATTGTCAACAAAAAATGTCATTGCTAACGCATCATGTACCGTCATACGTGAACTGTACTAATTTTTTCTGAAATTCAAAAAATAACAGAAAATTCCTCCCTTAAGAACCAATCAACTTATTAACCCTCAGCGCAAACGTAATTAGTTGTTTCAGCAAATTTGTTAAGTCAACGTTCTAACAACAATATACAAGTCACCCTAGCCACACATGGCTCTATAATACCCACCGACGTCGAAGCCGTTGAGGGCATCGCCTTGAGGTGCCAACGGGAAATGGTAGCGGTGGCCATTGATCTCTAGATTCCTCACGCAGCCGCGGAACCCTGCGCGCACTGGCAGCCGCTCGAGGCCGCTCGTGTTGCCTGGGCCACCGACGAACAGTGGCTCCCGAAACGTGATCCTCGAGAACAGACCCTGAAACGAGAAAATGGATGAAAGCGTTATTTTTCTTCCTGGAATTGATATGTTCTGTTTTTCTGATTTTCGTGAATTTTGTCCCTTAAACGTGACCAGCTTGTACATCTAGGTGTTGAATAATGTTTGGCATCGTTCGATGGATCGCTTAACACGAATGCCTATCAATTTGGTATACTCTGGTCTGATATGTTTGAACAGGTTGTAACCTGAAGGAAACAACGCATCATCCGATCCCATTTCTGGACAATTAAAACAATTGGATGATGCGTTATTTGTTTTTCAGTTTGAGAATTTCGAAAATTTCCTCCTACGTCATGGACCTCAAAATAGCCAAGGATAGCCATTCCTTCAGAAGTAAGAAAAACTTTGTTTAATCCAACGTCCTTGGATCCCAACTACGAAAACGTAGCCTTCGCAGGTATACCATTTACTTTTTCGTTAGCGTCCGTCTACCTTTAGACAAGTTTCCATCGAGTTTTGCCAGCTCGTTTGTCCAATTTCGGACGCGTATTCGGGGAGTCGTCGCTTTACAGACACGGTTGCACCGTTCCAAGCAAATTCCAAAGTAATACTCTTAAATTACGCTTAATTGGCAAACGCTGTATTTCCATCGTCTTATTTATCCGCTAATCGGTTTTAAACTTTGTAAAACTTCCCATCGCTTTGGACACAACAAGCACACCTCCGAGAGTTTGCGTTTAGGTGCGGTGGGTCGAGTTATTCCCTTTCAAAGTCGCTGGGTAAGTATAAAACTCGTCTGTGCCACCAAAAATTGTCGAGCGATGGGTACATTAAATAAACATATACAAGTCATCTAGAGCTCAAACTTTGCTCTCCCTGTCACATTTGACTCGGAAACCAATACCGAACTCAGTGATCTCTCATCCCTTAGTGCCAAATGCACATACACACACGTGGTGAAAAAAAAAATAACGTACACATAGAACCAAACGTCACTCTCCAGTCAGTCGATTCCGTTCCGAAAATAAAGCGCTCAAAGGACGGCAGGGGCAAAAAATATGGGCGCGTGGGCACGAAATGTGGGTCGGGCGAAAGGAGCGGGTATATTTCGGTCGATACAAACAGAGCCGGCAGAAAACGACGGTGGAGGTACAGATACAGACTGCCGTCTGGCAGACGTCGCGTGTCAATGAAATGGAACGCGTTAGCTCCAGCCGGTGTCTCCTCCTCGGCGCTGGCATTTCCCTCCCCCCTCCCCTGGAGATTACGGGTCGAGAGTGCCGATGAAAAATTTAATTTAATTTCCCTCGTCCTCCTACCTGTTATTATTGATTCCGGCTTTTTTGCCGATGCGCAGTCGGGAGCAAAAGGAGGAGGGTTCTGATGTAACGTAACGGAGAGAAAAGGATGAATCGCGCCTGCGGTCGTATTATACAAAGGGGGGCGGGAGGACTCTCGAGCAGGGCGTGCTTAAACGCTGTGCCGAGGGGAATGGGGGATAGAGAGGGAGATGGGGCAAATTAATGGGCTGCTTTCAAGTTCGTTCGTTCGACCCTTCCCGCTTCAACGTATACTCGTACTACCTACTCTCTTGTACCGGTAGATATGAGTGAGTGTATAATATATATACACGTGGATTTCGAAGTCCTTCTTCTACATACACACACGTGTATACTCTTGAACCGAGGGATGAGTGGGTATGGGTGTATATGTATACAATGTACAAGCTTCGACGTCCCTCGTCGCACACTTTGCTTTTTAATCTCTTTATTTTCAATTATACCAGCTTTTTCGAGGGAGAGCACGTACCGACCAACAACTCGTGTAATAATTAATCATCGTGTTTCGAGGACCAGCCGCATGTACACGGCGAGCTCGCCCTTTCTGCTCGGACGAGGCTGGTTCAAGGACGAGTAGGTATGAAATTAATTTTTTTTTTTTCTCTCTCTTTACACTCGTGTTTGTGGCGTTTCGGGAGTCCTTGCGATTGAAAAATTATTGCCAAACTCGTTTGGAATAATATTACGTTTGCACGCTCCGTCGTGAAAAACTGTTTTTTCCTTCCCGCAAATGAATACTTATTCACCACTGAACGGCGATGATGAATAATACATCCCACTTTTGTATATACACGGTATACGGTGATCAGACACACACCCAGACTTTCATCCCCTCGAGGACCAAATCGCGTACACACATTAGAAGCACGCGATGATTATTATTTTTTCCAAGGACATCCATCACCTTCGGAGAAACCCATGCATATGCCATTGCGCCTCGTACATAACACACCCATCATCGTCACCGCCAATCCTACAACCATCGAGGAAAAACAAAAGAACGACCCTTCTAGCCTTCGTCAGTCCGCTGTGAAAAAAAGCCATCCTCACGCACGCGCGTATAATATATGTATATACGCTAATGTAACTCTTCTCGAAAACACTCCCTCGACTCTCCTCTGTTCGTGTTGTGTTTTACCACGTGGCTTACCAGTTTGTCTCACTCTACGGGCAGCCCCCACTATTCTCGCTCGCTTGGGTTGGAAAGGAAATAAAAAAAGAAAAGAAAAAAGTCAAGCGGATACGAGAGAAAAAACGCCCTCAAAGAAACGTGAATCGAGGCAGGTCGTACGGGCCAATCGATAATAGCCGCGATGATGTGCCGGCCAGCGGATCTCGCCCCAAGAGTTAAAAACAGTTCCGCTTGCGCGCGTGTGTATACAGGTTTATCGTGTACACACATACTCACGGAGGGTGCTTGTGAATGCGTATACAACATACGGATGGTATGGTGGGATTTTTAAATTGTGCGAAGTAAAGAGCGGGAGGGGGGGTGAGAGGATGTGATTCGCGTCACGTGGGGGTATCATTTGCCATACACAGTCGTCGTGTTGTAAAAGCTCGTTGGAACGAAACTGCGGCTAATGCGCGTGCGATTGATTTTCCGGTTGACGAGCTTTTTATGATCTCGCTCGGTGCACGCTTGAGGTTCTATTTTCGGTCTGTGGTGGTATGAGTTGGAAATACGTGTCTTTGTAGGTTTTGTTTTTGCATAATTTTTTTTTATAAGAAATTCTAGTTGACTATTATTGCAGTGTCATTATTTAGTAGGGTATAACGTGTTGCTGATGTTATAGCGCTTATTATAATAATCTATACAGATTTTGCAAGGTTCATCTAAAATTGTATTCGGTAAATCTTCCCGCGGCTTGTAATTAGCATATATTAATCTTGTTTTTGCTCTAATTTGGTCATCAAAATTATAATGTCATTAATATCTGATAAATTAGAACGATAAGTCCTCTGATCATTTACATAATATTACCCATATTTATCGATAAACTGGATGTGTACTGAGGCAGTAATGCTTGCTCAAAATTAGTTTGGTTCCACTACAGCAACGAGTATTTTGAATTATTAAATAAGAGATAATGTGAAAATAATGACATCCAGTGTATATAAAATTTTCATCGATATAAAGTTTACGTAAAATAATCTACAACCTCATAACATATGGTTTACGCTAAGTCCATTATAAAAATGAGCGGGTTAACGTAGTACGATGATGTGTGTGAAAAAAATCAAGTTAAAACATTAAAACTTGATATAAATTGTTAATTTCGATAATTCTCTAATGAATAAATTTAAGCTAACATAAGGAAAAATTTATAATATTCCTTAGTGAATCTATAAAATAAATGATCTGAATTTTTTATACTTATTCATCGTATTCTATTTCACGTAGAAAAAATAAACTCAAATCTTACATTTTGTATTTTTATTGCATTTGTTAAAGGTTATAAAATTAAATAGTATTAAGTGCAATCTATTGTGTTTATTTCTTTTTGTAGTAACAATAGATAACGTTGATTGAATCATACGTATTAATATTAAGCTATCTATTTTTGGTTTGAAACTATAGGCATAAATTTATAAAGTCCTTAGATTCTTTTAAGATTTGTTATAACTAATAAACCTTATATCAAGTCTTCATCTTTGAACTTGATTTTTCCTTGCACAATATTATATACATTTAATAATTAAATTATGAATTTTATTACTTCATTTTATACTGTACACGTATATTTAACCTTTATTTCAACGATAACTGTTATGCTGCATTTGAACAATTTTTAATTCAAATGATCTCTTTTTCCACTTAAGTGTAAAACACGTCTGAAATCTGTTTACTTTAAACATTTGCATAAAGTAAAAATACGTTTTCAAGATAATACGGGCAAATCTCTTTCCACGCTGATACAAGCATTTTATGTAAATTCGCCGAGACAACATATTTTCTCAATCTCTGTTCCCCCCTCCTTTTTTTCGTACGCAATATTTTTCTTTAATGCCATCCGAGGAATCACATTACACGCATTTCCAACTCAAATTCTTCTCCATCGCGTGTACACGACATCACACACGGGTATATGGAAATAAATGTTTCATCGTACCGCTCAACTATAACGTAAAAAAGTTCGGTTTTTACGAAACTGACAAGCACAAATAAAAGTGTACGTTTGATGGAATCCACGGGCAATTTCATCTCTTCGTCTTTCCGAAAAGAGGAAAAAAAGAGTCGAAAAACAAGTTAGCAAGGACAGGCTCACGGAACAGAGAACCAATCAAAGTCCGCAAAACGTTATTTTCCATCACCGACGAGTCCCACATCTTTTTTTTTTTTTTTTTTTTTTGTCCGGTCGGTCAAGGTGTATAAATAAGAGATGCTGCAACTGCGTGCGGTGCAGTCGTCGCTCGCCCGCTCGTTCGGTCGAATTACATTGACGGCTCGTCAAGCGTCGAATCGATCGGAAAGCCTCACCTCGTCCGCACACACCTGTATCCCAGCCTGCACAGCGGCGGATTTCCAGCGTAGGTGGTGCCGACCGCACGACGACGCGTCCCTGCACACGGAAATCGGCGTCGCACGTGTTTATTAAATTCTGAGCCGCATTTTTATTTCCACTGGTGGTCCTGTTGGCGGTTACCGCCTGTCGGATAATACGATTCGCGCGCGTCCACTGGCAAATAGTTTTG